TCTCAGTTTATACACGATGAAATAAAACAATGCGCAAATTATGTCATTGCAAATATACGGAAGTCCATTAGGGCCAAATTTAAAACGTAAAAGAAATATATCTCGAAATTTCGACTCCGTATATCGAAATTACGACTTAGCATCTTATCGTAACCTCCCTGCTTTGCAGTGCAGCACATGGTCTATAAATACACTTCATATTGTATAATTACTTAGCATAGTTGTGTGCAAATCATAAATCATTGTGTGAATGATTTCATGACGTACTACCCTAAATCATAATGACATAATATGGAGTAGAATTAATAAAATCTAATATTTATTGAATCTAGGGGCATTCATGTACGGTCTCGTTATTAGACAAGAATTCAATATTATGCAAAATATGAATAAATCACCGTAAGCCACTGACGCAGTTCACATCGACATCTTAACGCGAAATCACTTCATCATTGATATGTTTTTATTTTTATTTTCAAAAAAATATTTATTAGAAGCAATTTAAGAAGAAAATGCAGTTTGTTAATAATGAGATGTGGAATTACATATATTACATATTATGACGTTATTAAGAAGATATTGCAAAGCATGCACGAAGGCGTTACTGTACTGCCTTTGTGCAGTATTCCCATGATAACCATATTAATCTACATGTACATCTTTTTCCTGCTTGTAATAATAATGATCCAATGAGAAATAACAGACAGGAATGGCAACAAATAATGTGTTACTGTGCTGCCTAAGTGCATAATTTGCGGTATTCTCATCTTTTTCCTGCTTGTAATAACAATGATTTCATGAGAAATAACATACAGGAATGGCAACAAATAATGTGTTACTGTATTGCCTAAGTGCATACTTTGCAGTATTCTCTCGATAAACATATTATTATACATATTTTCCCTGCTTGTAATAATTTGCCTTTGCGTTTAGTGACGGGATTATATTTCTAACACGCTTCTGCGTCTGACGTAAACTAAAAAAAGTGACGCACAAAATACAAATGAGGAAGACATTCAAACTTATTCCTAACACTTTTCGAGACGTAATATCACCTCAATTTGGCACATGGTGAACATAAAATGTATTTTGAATACTGTTTCGACAAGAGTACGCAGATAGGCGATCGATCCATGGAGCACATGACTTTCACGGCTGAG